GTGTGTGTAGTGTGTGTGTGTGTGTGTGTGTGTGTGTGTGTGTGTGTGTGTGTGTGTGTGTGTGTGTGTGTGTGTGTGTGTGTGTGTGTGTGTGTGTGTGTGTGTGTGTGTGTGTGTGTGTGTGTGTGTGTGTGTGTGTGTGTGTGTGTGTGGTGTATGTGTGGTGTGTGTGTGTGTGTGTCCTGTCTGTGTCCTGTGTAATAAGTGGACATATGTAATATATATTTATGCAGCATATACATTAAAATATATTAAGAAATAATAATATATATTTTTAGCAATGGAAATTATTTAATGAATTACATATATACTCTATAAAATCAAACAAATGGACTGCTATAAACACTTTGGAAACTCCACCACCAACTTCTGCGCATTCTGCAACAATACATAGAAACTTAATGGTTGTTTTTGGTGGAGTTTGTAATGGATACAGGTATATTTTCATAAATTATATTGACGTGAGCATGTGTGTATGTGTGTACACAAACATATATACAATGCATAATGTTGCATATATTATTTTATAATAGTTCCAATGATGTATGGTGTTTAAATTTGGACTCATATTCTTGGCACAAACAAACTACATCAAATTTGAAGCCACAACCACGTTATGGTCAATCGCAAATTGAATTAGGAGAGAAGCATTTGCTTGTACTTGGTAAGAGAAACTTCTATTTGTGATTGGCGGTTGTATTGATTGCTGACTATTTTTGATAATGAAATATATGTAATTCTTGCCAATTTAATTTACTTAAGAAATATAGATGAATTATATTGAATGATTTTATATATATATATATTTATTTATTTATTTATTTATTTATTTATTTATTTATTCATGTGCGCGCGCGCACGTGTGTGTATCCATATATTTCATCTATACTTCTTACATGCGCGCGTATGTGCGTATTTATAATATAAATATATTAAAAATTAAGTATATTGAAAATATTTTAGACAAAAGTTGAAGCTGTATATTTTAAAAAATAATTGTGATTTATATGTGATTTTCAAATAGCTCAAATAGCTGTCTAACGTAAAACCAATATTTAATTTCTGAAATATTTACCTGTCACATATTCATATATTCATTTCATATATTTCACTCTATATTATAGATTGAAATATTTACTCATTAAAATCAGAATAATTCAATATACAATTGAGTAATTACATGTTTAAATATACAGGAGGTTGCACAGGACCAAATGCTGCTATGAATGATGCTTGGTTGTTAACAATGGAAGGTATGTCTTGGACATGGAAGAAAGTTAATATGCACAATACAGAATGGGCCCCAACACGTATTTGGTGTCATCAAGCTTGTAAGGTAATATAATATATTAAAATAAAATATTCATCTCTTAAATTTTTTTAAATAATAAACTGTTGCAACTAGTTGATATCCCGGCTAACCAGCAATTTTCTCTTAACTTAAACTTCCTAAAATGGTTCTAAGGATTCGCCAGTGTGTCTACTTAGTTCTTTTTATATTAGAGCTTATATTTTAAACAAAGCTCGAATGATTTTATCCTCTTTAATCTCTTGCATCTTAATCCGTTGTTGTTTAATAGACATCGCGCTTCGATATCCGTGTGCTCATTATATCGCCGAGCGGCTTTCTTAATTTCCTTCTTGACAGTTGGGATTTCTAAATCTTTATGTATATCATTATTCCTAACCATGGAACGTTGAGTATCTTTCGTAATATTTTACTTTGACACACTTGAATTTTATTTACGTTACTTTTGCTAGCACAATTCCAAAGTTGTATACCATATATCCAGATTTGTTTGTATAGAAGCATCTTATTATATACCGTTAAGATCTCCTCCCAATCAACCAGTACATTTCCTTTGACATTTAAGCTTTCTTTTTTCTAGTTTTCTTTTTTATATGTTCCTTCCAGCGCAGCTTGACATTTAGGTTCATTTCTAGATACTTTGTATTGGCAGGTATTACTTTCTTGTTTAATTTTAGTGGGAGAATTTTTTTCTTGTAATGTAAAATTAACGTGGGTTGATTTATTTTTCTCATTGAGTTTAATTTTCCATTTTTTAGTCCAATTAACTTTATTTACTGCTTTTGTAGTTTTTTGTTACTTTCTTAGTATTATAGCATTATAGTTAGTATAGCAGTATCGTCCGCAAAAGTTGCCGTAGTTATATAATTTGACTATGGGATGTCACAGATATATATTAAATAGAGTAATGGCCCTAACACACTTCCTTGTGATACACCAGCCTTAATCTCTTTTAATTCAGAGTATTCATTGTCATATTTGACTCTTTTTCAAAATATGGAAAATATTAAATACGTTTTTATATTAAAAAAATTATTTTATTTGTAAACACCATGTTAACATAATTATTTATATAAATATCTTTTTTAACATTTAGTAAGAAACTATTTAGAGATCTTTTTTAACTAAAAATAGTAAAAGTATGATGTAAATTATCGATTTTTGATTAAAAATATTATTTGCATTAATTAAATACGATCTAAATATAGATCAGAATCTTTCGAATTAAATAACTTATTAATTGTATTTTATTGAAAATGTATCTTTCTACGTGTATTTATATCGGTTTTTTCAAGTTTTAAAGTATTTCATACTTTACAATTAGTTATGAAACTTTTTTTATAATATAAATCTTAATGATATAATTTTATAATCGTAAAAATTTTATAATCGTAAAGTCATTTTTATTTTATATTGCAATACAAAAATGTGAGACATTTCGTCAAATATTCATATAATTCATACATTTTGATAAATTTATAAAGGATTATACTTATCGATTATATTTATCAAAACTGCTACAGCGACTTCAGCACATGAAAAAAGTTAAAAATGACTGATAAATATATATTCGATTCCGAAACGATTTTAGAGTTACGGAATATTGAAGTTGCTTTTGTAAGGAGACATGAATTGTCTGAAATAAATGTCGTTTAATTTGTTATTTGACGCTGATAAGCGCGCCCTGTCAAATCATTGTCAAATATTTGGAATTTTGCGGCCGCAGTCATCCACTGTCCCGCATACCTCCTTCAATACTGCCTATAACATCCGCAAAACTCCAAATATTTTTCAAAATGTCGAAAACAATTCACTAATTCGTGCTAGAAAATATGTCGAAGTTCGTGGGAATTTTTAAGCATCTTTTGTAGAGTATTAAATGAAAAAGGAACATTAAACAATACAATATAATTTATTTCTATTCGTGTTTTTTTACTTCAATACTCCATAACTTTGAAACCATTCGGAATCAGACATATGTTTATTAGATATTTTCAACTTATTTTCATTTGCTAGAATCACTGTAGCAATTTTGGCACTAAGTTCAAGAATATCTGTGCGTGCGTGCGGGTGCGAGTGCGGATGCGAGTGCGGGTGCGGGTGCGGGTGCGGGTGCGTGCGCGCATATATAATATTAGAATATGAATATTATATAAAATATGTAATATTATATATTTATTACTTACATAGGTGGGAATTACATCATCGTACTTAGTAAAAATAGACGTCAAGCGAAACCGAGTGATATGAGTATCCCATTGAAAAAAGTTACCTGTCAAAGGAGTACGTCGCCACGCTTGTGCGAATTAAATTTTTTGTCCGAAAGGTCTGATGCAGTCATAATGATACTATGTATATCACAAAGAGTATTATCACAAAGAAGTACAAACAATCGTCGATGATTTTGTTATTATTATTAAGCAATTTGTTTTTTAGACAAGGCAACTTATCTGTCATGGATAAAGATGAAAATATAAATGGACGACATGGAGAGTTTTCTCGATCACATTCACAAAATGCAAATGTTTCATCGCACATATCTAGTATTCCAAAAACGATATCATTTTATAGTGATAATATTTTAAGTATGGCTGCGTTTCGTGATCAACCTGTGCATAGTAATTTAAATATGAATAGACAACGTCAATTGGAATCACTAAGAAGAATGGAAGAGAAAATCCGAAATAAGAGGACACAACTGATGAGAGCATCCAAAAAATCTGAGAATACATTATCGATATTTGTATTAGATATTACCAATGTCCTTTCCGATGACAGTAATGCTTCATGGATTCCCTTGCAACAAAACGATCATTCGGGACCTGATGAGAGAATTTTGTATTCTCTTGTAGTAGGAAGGGGAGAACTAATAGTTTTTGGAGGTATTCGTAAAGAACATTCGACATTAGGTCACACCGATATAGATGATTCTGTAGTATATAACGATCTTTATTTTATAAATCCTCCTCGATATGTTATTTAATATATAAAAGCAATTAAAAGCAATACCATATTACATTTTATATTATCATGATTTTGTTGAAAGATTTTATTTTTAATCTGTGCATATACGCATAATTGTAAGTAGTATTAAACATTGTAAGAACGATGTAAAACATATGCTAAATCATTGCACAACGATATATTATCCTTAACACTCTAATTATTTAAATATATATATATATATAAACAGAAATTATATAATTATTATATAATTATCTATTTTTATTTTATTATTATGGATCTCTTGTATTTAAAAAATGGTACATATTATATATAATACTTTACAAATACATTACATTAAAAAGATAGATTTAATGATGAAAACAATACATTTTATGATAAGATTACATAATTGTTGGATAGATATCGTCCAACTACGATACTGACATTTTAATCTTCTTCAGCTTGAGCTGCTTTTAAACTACCAAATACTTGTGATGGTATAGTCTGTTTCTCGATTGGTATATCTGAAAAAAATAAATGTTACCAAGATTAATTTGTATGTCATTTTTTTATTTTTGCCATTTTAGTGAAATATCGTTGGATTAATTTAGAATTGATTTTTCCCTTGTAAAAATGTCTTATCTTTATTTTTTTCAAATATGATCAATTACAACGGATTTTTTAATCGGGATAACGTCAGTTATTTTTCGAAGAAAAATTTCTCATAAAATACAATGGACAATACAACCTTTATTATTTATCATATATACATACACATAATATTCCATTTTGATTTGTCATTTCTTTTTCTTATCTTTGCAAGGTAAATAATAAAAACATGTTATTTAAACAAAAATTTTAATTTTAAGAGTGCTGTTAATTTGATATTGGATAATCATGTAAAAATCACATAAGAATCATCGCCATTTTTTCTTAATGAAATTTTGTTTATGTAATATGATTCTTTTAAACATAATAATATTAAGATAAAGTTATATTAAAAAAATTAATAATTTACGAGATACTTTATACTTTATTGTGGCATATTTTGTCCTGAAGTATAATATTTTGTAAACTAATATTATAAAAATACTAAAAAACTATAATAAATATTTTATAAACTATTGATTTCTTGATATAAATTTATCTCTTAGCATTGTTATATTCAGAATGATTAGAAGAATCAAGTTACATAAAAAAAGTTTTATTTTAAAAAAGTGTCGATAATTTTTATCTTGACAATTGTCAATATTAAACAATTCTAATATCAAACCAACAAGTCTAATATCAAACCAACATTCTCACATGTTTTTCTTAAAATCTTAAAACTTTTGTGTAAACATATTTTTC